TCAGGTGATCCTCCCACCTCAGCCTCCCACGTAGATATTACAGGCGCATGCCACCAGGCCTGGCTGATTTTTTGTGTGTGTGTATTTTTAGTTTTACCATGTTGCCCAGGCTGGTCTCGAACGCCTGGGCTCAAGTGATCCACCCACCTTGGTTTCCCAAAAAGCCGGGATTACAGGCACCTGGATTTTTAAAAAATGAAACAAAGCAACCTGTATAAAACTAAAAGGCAAGGACAAGGAGATGCTGTGACATTTGGATCCAACAATAGGAAAATGGGTTATCAGAGAAGATTACTGTCAGAGAAGACCATAACTTGTGAGAGAATATAAACAGAGAGAACATATTGAGGAGCTCATGCTAAAGATGCCTCAATATTTCTTCCCAGACTTCGAATCTTTAAGAAAAGCTACCCAGGAAACATCAATGATGAACTGAAATCTTTCAGAACTGCTGAGTTTTTCCTGGCAATGTCTTCTATCTCCCTATTTCTCTCTTACTCACCAGGGCATGTGCCTCTTGTTCCCTCTTTCTTCACCATCCAGGGCTCTTTTCCTTGCTCCAATAATGAGATCACATCTGGCTTAGAAACAGAAACTCCTGCTTACAAAAAATAAAAGGGGAATTAGGCAGGTATATAAGTAAGATCAAGTTTCTGCATCATCAAGAAGGTGGGAGCATAATGGGAGGGAGCTGAGGAATAAGAATGGGGAAGATGAAGCTGCCAGTTCTACAAATTCAACCTATTTTGGGAAGCACAAGAAAGGGAAATTTAGTGAAGGACATCAGAGGTTTCCCAACATTACACTGGAGCTCAGTCCCATGTACAGATTCTGAATTACAGGAGACGTCCTTACCCAGTGATACCAAGCTCCTGTAGTTCTCCAACATCACTTTCCTGTACAAATTCCTCTGAGCGGGGTTCAGCCATTCCCATTCCTCTTGAGAGAAATTTACAGCCACATCCCCAAATGTCACCAAATCCTGAAATGACATAAACACACTCTTGCTCAAAGAGTGTTCATATCCTCACATGAGCCTAGGTTAAAAAGTTAAATTGTCTATACTTTGAGAGAGAAATATTGCACATAGCAAAACTTTCTGACAGTATCTTAGGTTCTAGGCAACACGTGTCAGGTAATTACTAGATGACTTCTTTGTGCTTTGTTTGGATATTCTGTCATGGAAAGTATACAATTTGAGAGATAATCCTGTTGGAGAAAAGGATTTATAACACACACCAAATTGGAAAATAACAGAACACTGTAAATCGAGTATAAAATATGTTATTCATATTAAATGCCAGAGTTATTTCTCAATATTGGAAAATCAGATACACTGGGGAAGTAAAGAGCTTCAAGGAGGAAACAGGCTGAGTTAAGCTTTATAACGTGTATATGGCTGAACCTGGCATTTTTCCAAACTCAATACAATGAAATGGTCAACGTTCCAGAGACATCAATAGGGTTGTATAAAAATACATATAAATATGTTTGATGCTTACAATATTGACTTTCTGAAATTAAATATACGTAATAGAAACAGTAAACAAAGTTGTATACTGACTTGCAAAAATATGGCTTAAATGTATACCATAACAGAGAGCAATCAAGAAGCTGAGTGACAGATTACCTAATGTGTGGGGAAGTATGCCACTGAATTTGTGCTTGGTGGCAAAGATAACATTAGCTAATCAGCTGTCAAAGTGATGCATTTCATCTCACTGATGACCTCAGGTATCTCACATATTTTTTACATTTCATAGTACACATTTTATAATGACAACCTAGGTCTTGTGTGTGTTGTACTTTAAACATTTGTTTTACACAAATTCCTCCCCTGTAGATGGTTTAAATGAACGGAAGGCATATGGTTTAGATGAACAGCAGCTTGATGTCACAAAAGGTATCTGAATCAGGCCAGAGGTGGTGGTGCATGTCTAAAGTCCCAGGTACTCAAGAGGCTGAGGCAGGAGGATTGCCTGGGATGCTTGAGTCCAGCCTGGGCAATATAGTGAGACCCTGTTTCTAAAGACAAACAAACAAAAAGGTATCTCAATCAAAACAAGAAAAAATTTGTTACAGATAAAATGAAGTTGATCTCCAAGACTGTGACTTCTAATGTCTTGAGAAGAAGAGTACTATTATAATAAATGTTTGAATCTGTATAATCAGTACTTGATAAGAAGGAATCAAAGAAGTACAATAAAAGTTATTTCAATATAGGACAAATTTCCGTTGGAAATAAAAATTTTCCTGAGACTGTGTGGAAGAGGCAACAAATGATTGCCTAACAGCTCTTGATAACCCCACTAAGTTGTAAAGATAGTTGGTAACTTATAAATATGCTACATAAGAGACAAAATAATATAATTTAAGCACTATTAATTTACTGAAATAGTGAACGTCTCCAAGTCTGATAATGAAATGCATCAAAAAATACCCACCGCTCTCACTAGAGGAACATACACAACTGTGCCTGTTTGATGAGCAAGAGAGTTTTTAAAATGTTACAGTACAGCTCCCAAATACTACTACTGCATGTTGAAGTAAGGATCTTGAAGATAACATGGAACGAGACCTAGTTCGCTCCCTAAAAATTAAAAATGGGTCTTCTTCCTAACAAGATAAATCAGCTCAAGACTTACCAGGGCTTGCTGTATGGTTAGGCATATGCATCTTGGTTTTCACATGTCACAGAGCAAAGCCTGTTCTTAAGCTGGGCTGACATAGAGATGGGATTCAATGGTACACACCTGAGCAGCTATGCTGATTCCTTAAATACTGAAATATTGCCACACTCACTGGTAAACAGCTACTGCACTGAGTGCTGCTAGTGACCAGATTTCTCCATAAGGAATTCAGCAACTGAAGATTAATGCCCAGCATGGCAGCAAACGCCAGGATCCCAGCTAAGATATGTTCTGCTGTGTGCCTTTGCCTTGTTGGTTGTCAAATATGAACATCACCCCTACCCTTGTATGACTCTTTGCAGAGTAATGCTCCTGTTGAAGAAATACTCAAATACATCAGTGATTTTATTTAGAAACCTTTTTAATGGAAAAAAAAAGAGTCAATGTTAACTGTTACTGTCAGAACGATGCACAAAAATGTTAAGGAGGTTATCTATAAAGAAAGCAAAAGTATGGCTCCAAGAAACATCAATTACATGCATCAGCTGTTTAAAAAGCTTCCATTTCTGAAACACTTCTTAATCCAAGGATATCTAAGGAAGTGACTTGTCACTTCAAAAAAGGAAAGGAATGTGAATCAGGTCTAAAAAGTAAAACTTGTGCTGGATAGGCCTGGGCACTGCTATTCATCAATTCTACTGTAACTCAAACACTTCAATACAAACTCTTTAAAATTATGGGCAGGAAAGTGTTCCACACACATCATTTATTGTGCAGACATTAATGAAGAAGCTTTTGCTACACAAAGTCCTCAAGAGACATTTTTTAGCTGCACACATGAACTAATGCATTCTGTGTTTTAATTATCTGACATTTTCCTCTCAGCCAATGAGACCATGAATACCTTGCAAATGCTTTTTATAATTATTTTGATTTAATTTAAAAATTACTATCATTAAAGAAACTTAAAAATATACTCTCCAGTATTTCTACCCTCAGTGATTTCCCCCCACTCCTTTTTTTTTTAATTTTATTTTTTAGGAGACAGGATCTTGCTCTGTCGCCCAGGCTGGAGTGCAGTGTTACAATCATGGCTGATTGCAGTCTCAACTTGTAAGGCTTGAATGATTCTCCCAACCTCGGCCTCTCAAGCAGCTGGGACCACAGGCACTCATCACCAGACCCAGGTAATTTTTTAAATTTTTGGTACAGATGATGTCTCACTATGTTGCCCAGGCTGGTCTCAAACTCCTGGGCTCAAGAGATCCTCCTGCCTTGGCCTCCCAAAGTGCTAGGATTGGAAGTCTTTCACCCCCATGCCTACTCCCGTGTCACTTGACCTCCTAAAAGCAATTATAATTTACAGTTAGTATAATCTGTTCAAACAGTTCCTTATACTGATGTCTATGATTATGTATATATTTCACTTACCGATAATGTCAATTATTGGCTAAATAATATTATATAGTACAATTATGCCCTGTCTTACTTACTAACCCTCATGCTTATTTTCAGTTGGGTAAATCTTAATTTTTTCTTTTTTTTTTTGAGACGGAGTTTTCTGCCCTCGTCACCCAGGCTGGAGTGCAGTGGCATGATCTCGGCTCACTGCAAACTCCACCTCCCATGTTCAAGCAATTCTCCTGCCTCAGTTTCCCAAGTAGCTGGGATTACAGGCACCTACCACCATGCCCAGCTAATATTTTTGTATTTTGAGTAGAGATGGGGTTTCACCATGTTGGCCAGGCTGGTCTCGAACTCCTGACCTCAGATGATCCACCCGCCTCGGCCCCTCAACGTGCTGAGATTACAGGCGTGAGCCACCGCACCCGGCTGGGTAAATCTTAATTTTTTACTATGATGTTGCATAGGTCTTGAATTATTTTTTTTTAATTGATTCATAGACGTCATTCTCTCCATTGAGACCAGGATTTCACAAAATTACTTAACCTCAAAAAAATTTTTAATTACACTATTTTGACCCAGCAGCAATATGGTCAAATCGTTTTTGAAGTGAAAAAAAACAATTAAGGGTGGGAGTAAAGTGTTGCCTTGCACTCAAAGACATCCTCAAAGAGTTCTTCAGGTAGAAGTAAAACAGAAGGAAAATGGAAGCATGAAAACACAGGAATAAATTAAGAGTTCTAAAGCAGTAACTATAAATAGAGCAATAATAATACTGTGGAGTTAAATCACCGTAGGCATCTCATCCTGTTCAGGAGAAACAAAGGAAAAAAGAACAGATGGGATAAATGGAAAACAAACAGAAATACAGTAGTTTTAAAAACATATCTACAAGTATTATATTAAATATGTAATAAACACTAAAAGATTAAGATGATCAGGCTAGCCTTTTTAAAACTAGTCAATTACATGCTGCTTACAAGAGGCATACTTTAAATATAATCTTTAAAGGCAGAGGTTCTCAAAAGCCATGCATTAAAATCATCCTGGATACCTGTAATCCAGCTACTGGGCTACTTGGGAGGCTGAGGCAGGAAGATAACTGGAGGCCAGAAGTTCAGAACCAGTCTGGGCAACACAGTGAGACCCCATCTCAAAAAAAAATAATAATAATCCCGGGAAACCCAATAAAAATGTGTTTTCTTAGGTGCCACCAAGAGACCATGATTCAGGAGGTCTGGGGAGGGGTCCTGGAAACAGCATTTGGGCTAATGGATTCCATCTATTCTATACATCACACTTTCAGCTTTTTCTTTCTTCTGTTACCAAATCAGTAGCAGGAAACAAGAGGTGTCTAGCTCTAGCTATCCTGGTCTCACTCACAGATGAGGAATTCATCTGAATGCCTATTACCAACCGGGCACTCTTCTAAGAGTCAGGAATACAAAGGTGAACAAAACAAAGTTTCTCCTCTTAATATTCTAACAAAGGAGAAAAACATTAAACGTAAGGTCATACATGTCAGGTAGTGACATGGGACAAAAAACAAAAGAAGGTAAAGGGTGATTAAGAGTGATAGGGTGTTTATTGTAGATGATATGGTCAAGGTAAGTCTAAACGAAGAGGTAAGGTTTGAACAATAATCTGAGTGAAATGGGAGGGCAAGCTATGTCAACATGTAGGGGCATGGGGGAGCAAATGCAAAAGTCCAGAGACAAGAAAAAGCAGAGTAAGTCTGAGAGACAGCAAATTCACTACTGTCATTAAAATGAAGAGAGGTAAATATTTGTAGAAAATGAGGTCTAGGAAAGCCAGGAGCTGAAGCACAAAGGGCCTTATAGGCCATGGTTAGGATACTGGATTTCATTCCAAGGAAGACAGGAAGGCAATAAAGGTTCCGGGCATATAATGAGCCCCATCACAGTCTCGCTACAGTGTCCTTCATCATCTTCCACCACCCTCTTAATATCATCACTCACCATCATCGACGTTACTGACCCTCAATGTATATTACAACTTCTTACATCTGACTCAGTTACTAACTGGTTACGTGGACATGTCACTCTCTTCCCCTGGCCTCTTTTTCTTCATCTGTAGAATGGGAAACTTGGACAAGATTACCCGTAATTATCTTCCCGGCTTTACTGTTTTATAAGCCTAAGACTGTGCTGTCTAATACACTAGCTACTAGCTACATATGGCTAAATTTAAATCAAGTAACATTTAAAAATTCAGTTTCTCAGTCATGCTAGTATATACAAGTCTTTGTAGCCACATCTGGCTAGTGGCTTCTATATTAAACACTGTAGATATAGAACATTTCTACTGTCAATCATCACAGAAAGTTCTATTGGACAGTGCTGTACTAGCTGATTTCTGCATCTGCCTCACCTTACTCTTTCTCCATTCTCTATATTTTAACCTAGAGGTTTGTGTTTTTTTATACATAACCTATATAATGTATTTATCCTCTACGTATTTTTATCTATGTGTAGAGAAATTTTTTTTTTTACTAAATGAATATTCTATCCCTTCCCTATTGATTTAAAATAACATCAGTACATCATATAATTAAACTAGTATACATTAAATTCTATGAAGACAAAGACAGGGCCTATTTTTATTTATCACAGCACTTAGCATAAGGTCTTTAATAACTATATGTTCAGTGAATGAGTATTTCCATTCTTATGGAATTCTTATACTTGGATTTGTTTCTTAACATTATATGTTTCTTCTGGCTCCATTCCACACTATCTACTGTTTTCATTATTATAGATATACACAGCTTTTATTTTAATGTAGATTTAAGTGCTCTCCCATTACTCTTTTTCAAAAAAAGTTCTATTTTTTACATATTAATTCCACTTAACTGGATGACCTAGAATAACACAGCTGTGGACACTGAGAATGTCCCTAAAATGGTACCTCATTATTCCCTGGAATACTATTCTTTAAAGCCCACAGAGTGCTTGGAAAAATCCCTGCCCTAGCTGACCCACACTTTAATATTCAAGACTCAACACATCTCGCTCCTCAAAATCACTTTGAGCAAGAGACTCTGCCCTGTTCTGTGACTAAGACCACCTGACAACCCTCCTGTCTCGCCTTCTTTTCAAACCTAGGTCTGTGGAAAAGCTTTATTTATGCTAGTGGTTACATCTGAACATACACCTCAATCTCAATGAATCAACTTACTACAATGAAGGTTTTCATATACCAGTGAGTGTATTTTTGCATCTTGAGAGCTTCTAACTGACACTAAACCCAGAGGAGGTGCCGAACTATTTCTTGAGTGAAGATAAAAATGCTGGCTGTGGAAAAAAAGATGACTAAGCTTTTGGGGACTTTTACTGGAAAGCAAGATATGAGGAACGAGTCACTGGATGAATGGAACCTTGTTAGGTTGGAGTATTTTGGAAGAAAAACAAAATGTTCATATAACCTAAAAAATAAGATGGCATTTTAGGGAAGAGAGAAGAAATGCTTCCTTACCTTGGACATGGCTTTAAGGATTCCAGAATTTGACAGTTCTTCTGTCCTACTCCTTCAGACTCCTCTCCAGGAGAGGGATGGTATCCTGAGAAAGTAGAGCTGGAGAAGGAAAAAAAACCATAAAATGCCAGGCCTGCCCTGCAGCTCTCAGTATCATCAGCCTAGAAATCTTCCCTTCTCTTTCTCCTTCTTTCCCCAACCTCAGGAGTAAATTAGAGATATCACTGAGCAAGTCATTTATATCTAAATTTACAATTCTTTTGCCCACATGCTTTGGATCTTAAGAATACAACATATGGGCCAGGTGCGATGGCTCACGCCTGTAATCCCAGCACTTTGGGAGGCTGAGGCGGCGGATCACGAGGTCAGGAGATCGAGACATGAGGCCAGGAGATCGAGACCATCCTGGCTAACATGGTGAAACCCAGTCTCTATTAAAAAATACAAAAAATTAGCCGGGTGTGGTGGTGGGCGCCTGTAGTCCCAGCTACTCGGGAGGCTGAGGCAGGAGAATGGCATGAACCCGGGAAGCGGAGCTTGCAGTGAGCCAAGATCACGCCACTGCACTCCAGTCTGGGCAACAGAGCGATACTCTGTCTCAAAAAAAAAAAAACAAAAACAAACAAACAAAAAAAAAACCATGTTCTGTGCTTAAGTTACCTTCCCTTTTATAATTTAAAACAAAAACAGCAATTACACAATGGCATTACCAAGCAAGGATTTCCCTCTCTTTCACACACGAAGGCTCTTCATCGGAGTAATTAATTATTCAAGGCATCATGGTAATAATGAATTAAGCCAAACTGGAAACCAGGTCTAACTTTTAATTCTTTCCACCCGATCATGATGTTGAAAGGAAATATGTTCCCACCCTTTCTGCAAGGATGAGAGATAAAGCTACAAAATAAAATTTCTCAGAGAAAGCATCTCTATACACAGAGTGAGCATCAGAGGGTCCATGTGGTGTGGTGGACACTCGATCAAAGAGTCAAGAAGGCCTGCGTCAGGTCCTGGCTTATGACAACCCACAATTGAAAACTAATCTCTTGACTTTTCTGGGCAATCTCCTCAGAGAGAAAGAAGGAGAGAGGGAAGGAGGGGCAGGCTATGCATGAACAGTCATCCAAACCCTTATCATTAATTCTTATCCACCAGACCTCACTGTCTTGAAGAATAAAGCTATTACCTAAGAAGCAGCATAACTTAGTGGTAAGAATGACTAGGCTTAAGGATCAGAACACTTGGTCTCAAACAGCCAAACCACGACATGCTACCTCTACAACCTCTGGCAAGTTAGGTAACCACTGCAAACCTGTTTCCCTATCAGTGAAACGGTAACTATTCCCTATCAATTGTTGGGAGGTTTCTGAAATGATCTACATAAAGCATTGAGCACAGTGCTTGGTACATCCTTTCTTAAATAAATTTTCATCTTTCTGTCATTTATTTTCATAAATAGCACATGGTAGGTCTCCCATTCCTTTTTCCTGTTAAATTCCTCACATGCCCCCAGAGACTGAGAGGGATGGAAAAACTACTGTGCCAGAGGACAAGCAGCCAGTGTTTTCAGGCTTAAGTCTGAGGCTCCTGTCTGTCTCTCCCTTTCCAGCTCTCTTCCCCTCTCCCTTTTTCCATCTTCTCCCCTTCATCTCCATCTCTCTGTCTCTCCACCACAACAGCAGTCTCCCAAACCCCAGAGAACACCAGCATCTCCAAGCACCCACATAGCTTCCTGCCCACACAAATAACAGACAACAAACCACACAGTTTGTCACTCTGGCACCTCCCCTGGCAACCTATGGACATGCCCCCACATTGTAGCCCGCCATGCTCTCACAATGGGTCATATAAGGCCATTCTGAGTCACACTGTCACACTCACTGTCGGAATGACACACAGTGCTAAGTCACACAATCTCCCTCAGTCTCACATAATCACACACAGTCATGCACAATTTCACTGTCACATATAATCTTAGTCCAACAACACGAACTCTGTTCACATAGTTTCACATACAGTGACAGTCTCACACACTGTCACACAAATTCTCAGTCGCAGTTTCACGTGGTCCCACATCAACAGCCACATACCGTACACAACCACACATAGCCTCACACATGGTGACATGGCCTCACATACTGTCACAGTCTCACGTGATCCTATACACATGGTCAAACTCTGTTCACAAAGTCACACACACTGTCACATGGTCTTACATTATCCTGCACACACAGGTCACACACACAGTGACATGGTCTTACACACTGTTCACACACGGTCTACACATAGTGACAGTTTAACACTGTCACACACTCCCAATCAGTCTCACACATGGTGATGTGGTCTTAAACACATCCCACACGGTCCCATATACTGTCAAAGGCTCCCGCACATACAGGGGCAACGGTCTCATACTGTCACACACATTCTCACACCCAGTCTCACACTGTCACACACAATCCCACATTTGTCCCACATGGTCTCACACTGACACACATATTCACACACGGTCTCACACACATTCTCACACAGTCACACAGTCTCACACACGGTTCCACACTGTCAAACACATTGTCACACACGGTTCCTTAATGTCACAACATTTTCACACACTGTCACACACGGTCCCACACATGGTGGCATGGCCGCTCTCGGCGTCAGCTCCATCCCGCGCTCCTCACCGCCTCCTCCCTCCGGTGGGTACTTCCTTCGCGCGGTCCTTGGAGGCCGGGGCTGGGCCAGGGCCCGGGCCAGGGCTCGATCCTGGCCGCCGGCCGCGCTCACAAAGGCGCCGCAGCGCTAGGACAGGCTGCAGGGGCCGCTGGGAAATGAAGTCCAGGGCCGGCGCGGCGCAGAGGATGCTGGGATGGTGGCCGAGGGTCCCTGGCGGCCGCAGGTCTCGCCGCTCGTTGCGGGTAGTTTCTGCTGCGCCGCCTTCCCTAGTAAGCCCACCTCCGCTGGCCTTCAGAACTCCACTCGGACCAGCTGAACCCTCTCAGGCCATTCGACCGCCCGTTCATCCACCCGTTCCACCTGAGGCCTGGGAGGACCCGCTCTGACTGCGCAGGCGCAGCTGGCTCGGGTCCCCAAAGGCTGCCAGGCCGGGGCGCTAGCGCGGTGACGCGCACGCGCAGTAGCCGCGTCCGCGCTCAAGCGCTCGGTGTGGGGCTGTGAGCCCAGCGCTGAGAAAAGGGAGCCTGGAGGACCAGTGTGTGGCCAGAGCCAGCTGGAGAGGAGCCCGGTAGGACGTACGGGTGATTAAGCTGTCTGGCAGCCCGGGCTTTCTCTTTCCTTTCCCTTTCTGTTTCTTCTCTCTCCGCCTTACCCTGTTTTTCATTCACCATTTATTGAGCGCCTACTGTGTCGGGCACTGTCGTAGGCCCTGGGCACACGGCGGTGAACAATCAGACAAAATCCCCACTTCATGAAGCAGCGTTCTAATGCGGGAAGAATTCAATAGGAAATATTAATAATAAAGGACACTGATGCATACTGGGAAGTAATGCGTGTTATGAAGAAAAGCGAAGCAGAGTGTTAAGACCATTCTTTCAGTTCTTCCTTCCTTCAGTTATGCCCTCTGAATCAGTGGAAAAAACAAAAGGTGCATTTTTTTTCCTATTATCTCGAGAACTAATCATAACAAGACTTCTCTGACCAAATATGGGGGAGTTTCCCACACATACCAAGCACCCGCATACCAAGCAAGCAGTGAGTTCAATGAGTTCTGCAGTGAACACCAGCTGGGTGTCCTCCAGTTCAATTCCGACGCTGTCTACTTGGAGATGGGTCAGACACCATTCGCTGAGGGCTCAGTTCCCAAGCCTGCCTCCCCCTTCCCACTAGTCACAAGTCCAGTCTCTGGAACATCTGACCCCACCAACTTCAAATTGGGATTTTCACCACCCCCTCTTTGCAATTCAGTATTTTGCTAGAGTGGCTCACAGAACTCAGGAAACACTTATGTTTACTGGTTTATTATAAAGGATATTACAAAGGATATAGATGAAGAGATGCATAGGGCGAGGTGCAGAAGAAAGGGTGTTGCACCCAGGAACCTCCACATGTTCAGCTATGTGGAAGCTCTCCGAACCCTGTCTTTTGGGAGTTTTACGGCTTCATTACATAGACATGGTTGATTAAAATCCCCTCCCCTCCTTGGGGTTGTGGGTGGGGTTGAATGTCCCAGCCTTCTAGTCATGCCCTGGTCTTTCCATAACCAGTCCCCATCCTGAAACTATGTAGGGGATGCCAGCTATCAGTCAACTCATTAGCATACAAAGAGTTTTTACTCCTACTTTGTAGTTTCTAAGGATTTTAGGAGTTCTATGCTAGGAAGATCAAATATATATTTCACAATATCATACTCTCTTATTCCTATTCTTCAATGTTTTTGAAAATATTTTATAAACTCCTATCTCTAGTTCTATCTCCCAATCCTGTACCATCCCTTCCAAAATCCTGTTATGCCCTTCAATTGTTTCATTTAATTGTCTGACCAAAGTTGCCAGTGACAAAGAGCATCATAGAAGCTGGGAATTTTATTTGAGAAAATAAAAAAAATGCAACTATGATAGCAGCAAATACTAACTGAAACTTCTTTTTTTTTTTTTTGAGAGGGAGTCTTGCTCTGTTGCCAGGCTGGAGTGCAGTGTTGCTATCTCAGCTCAATGCAACCTCCGCCTCCCGGGTTCAAGCGATTCCCGTCTCAGTCTCCCAAGTAGCTGGGATTACAGGCACACGCTAACATGCCTGGCTAATTTTTCTTTTTTTTTTTAATATTTAGTAGAGACAGGGTTTTACGATGTTGGCCAGGCTGGTCTCGATCTCCTGACCTCGTGATCCCCCACCTTGGCCTCCCAAAGTGCTGGGATTACAGGCATAAGCCACCATGCCCAGCCAGGGTCCTGAGATTTATTTTCCCTTCACATCTATCCGATTGAAAACTATACAACTTTTTAAAAGAATAATCACATGGCAATGAAGCAACATGTAAAAATACTTCTTGTGTTAAGGTTTCTTAAAGGAGGAACAAAACTGATGAAATTGCATTATGACTGCAACATTGGAAAACTATTCCTATGAATAAAAAGTAAAAGGAACACAATCCACAAAAATTGTAGTTGGGTTGTGTTTGAGTGTTGAAATTGTTAGAAATAAATTTTCGGGCTGAGTGCGGTGGCTCATGCCTGTAATCCCAGCACTTCGGGAGGCCGAGGCAGGCAGATCATGAGGTCAGGAGATTGAGACCATCCTGGCTAACACAGTGAAACCCCATCTCTACTAAAAATACAAAAAATTAGCCAGGTGTGGTGGCAGGTGCCTGTAGTCCCAGCTATTAGGGAGGCTGAGGCAGGAGAATGGCATGAACCCAGGAGGCAGAGCTTGCAGTGAGCTGAGATTGCGCCACTACACTCCAGCCTGGGCGACAGAGCAAGACTCCATCTCAAAAAAAAAAAAAAAAAAATTTGCTGCCGCAAAAGAAGTAGCACTCTAACATAAATTTTCTCAGCAAGGCAATTTTACTTCTATAGAAGGGTACATCTTGCAGATGGAGCAATGGTGAGAGCACACCTGAACAAGGGAGGGGAAGGGGTTCTTATCCCTGATGTAGGTAGCCCCTACTGCTGTGTCATTCCCCTATTGGCTAGGGTTGGACCACACAGTCTAAGCTAATTCTGATGGGCTATATTAAAGATAGCAGCGGTAAGAGCCAGAGTGGTGGGGTGAGCAGTTTTGGCAGGAAAGACTGTTATGGAACAGGTGACTAAAGGTGACTTAGGTTAGAGCGGGTGACCAGGGGTGACTCACGATGGAGCAGGTGACCAGAGGAGCAGATGTGAACTACTGATCAGAACTGGCAGGGAAGTTGTTTACTGAAACTAGGGGCAAGGAGATGAAGAGAATGAGGAAGTTAAACTTTAAAATGGAGAACAAAGAACTGAACATACTGACATACTGATTCTTTGAAGAGAAACTTAGAACTCACTGTCTTGAACAAAATTATGATTGATATCTTCCCCTCGCTTTTTCAAACCAGACAGACAAGACTTGTTTAAAATAAGGCATCAGTAAACTTCCAGGTTTTGGCAGTCTTTTCGACATTTCACAGATGCGTGAAGAGAGTAGGCATCTTTACAAAACCACCTTTGCAAAGACTGTATCAGTGAGAAAAATTATTACAGTAAACTGAGCTAACCCCTTTCCCTTAATTATTCCTGGGCTATAGGACTGAGCTAACTTTGGAACACACTTACACTATAGTCTAAATAACGGGCGAATGGGAGCCATCCGTCTGAGAGGAGAGGAGGATGGGTCCTGCTAAGGTGGTGCCATTATTCAACTGTCAGCCATTATTCCAAAAGTTTTAAGATATGCAACTTCCCCAATTACTACTGCAAATAACATCACCACTGTAGAACCTCAGATTGGCCTTTTGAGATATCTTTTCGGGTTTTTTCATGTCTGACACCCATGGCTCCACCTGGACCTGATGGTTCCACTTGGACTAACCAACCCAGCTCCCGTGGCACCACCCAGCAGCAATTCAGCCCACACAAGGAGAGCTCTGACCCCCTATGATTTCATCTCCAGCCCAACGAATCAGCAGCAAGAACCTGTTACCTGGCCACTCTCACCCCTTCCTCCAAACTGACTTTGAAAAACCTCTGATATAAGAGCTTTGGATGAGATGATTTGAGTACGAACTCCATTTCCCATGTGGCGTGGCCAGCCTCACGTCTATTAACCTCTTTCTCTACTACAATGCCACGGTCTTTCTTTATGCAGTCCGCAGGAAGAACTCCTTGGGCAGTGGTTACATTTAGCCGAGGAGGCTAGATGGTAACATTTTTTATTTTTAGCCATTATCTCTTAAGCTTCTCCTTTTGGCAGAACCTTCTACAAAGTTTGGTAGGAGTCACTAAGTAAACTTTGATTTGCTTAAAAACCACATATATTCTTTGTCTCAGATGAGCAGCAACTATTTGGGCTGGTGGTGCACAGGTAAAAGAACTTACCAAGATAGTTGTGGGTAAAGAAAGGCAGATTTATTTATTTATTTATTTATTTATTTATTTATTTATTTATTTTTTTGAGACGGAGTCTCGCTTTGTCACCCAGGCTGGAGTGCAGTGGCCGGATCTCAGCTCACTGCAAGCTCCTCCTCTCGGGTTCACGCCATTCTCCTGCCTCAGGCTTCCGAGTGCTGGGACTACAGGCACCCGCCACCTCGCCCGGCTAATTTTTTGTATTTTTTAGTAGAGACGGGGTTTCACCATGTTAGCCAGCATGCTCTCGATCTCCTGACCTCATGATCCGCCCATCTCGGCCTCCCAAAGTGCTGGGATTACAGGCTTGAGCCACTGCGCCCGGCAAAAGGCAGATTTATTAAAGACAGTATGAAAGTGTGTTATCAGGGAGCGACAGGCAGAATCAGCAGAAGAGGAGCTGACTGCAAGGAAACAAAGGCTTGCTGGAGATTTTATAGGATGGTTCCTGGGCTGATGGATAACGCCAAGGCAGCAGGGAGCTAACCTGCATTCTTCTGTCACTCAAGGTGTTTGATGATAAATGTTTGCATGCGTTTGATGATAAGCAGGGAGTTTGTGAGTTATGTTCATGATTTGCTCAGGAGAGCTATATGTCCTGGGCCATAAAGAAAAGCAAGCCTATAGTTTATCTGCTTCCTTTTTCTGTTTATATATCCTGGACCATGAAGAAAATGCAGATCTATAGCTTATTTGCTTTATCTCTTTGCTTTCCGCTGGTCCCACCAGCCTGACTCCTTTTCCCTAAGTAGGAATCCACATTCTTCCTAATGGGTAATCAGCAGACATATGTCTACCTAGCACACCTAAGTTTAACATAATTATCTAAATGCAAAATCTTGAGGAATAAAGACCAAAAAACCCTCTACCAGGCACAGTGGCTCATGCCTGTAATCCCAAGTGACATAGGAGTTAAAAAGAAATTATTTAGGCAGATAGTGAGGGTAAGGAAATCCTCGGTACGGTTTTCCTTTTAATGAAAAGCAGCCCCTGAGTCATTTCTAACAAAGAGCAGCCTGAAAAATCAAGCTGCAGACATAGATAAGCAAGCTGGAAGCTTGCACGGATGAATGCCGGCAGCTGTGCCAATAGGAAAAAGGTACCTGGGGGCCGGGCATGTCCAACATGGCAGCTCCATCTTCCCTTTTGTCAACCAAAAGGGAAGTGTACAGTAAGGAACAGACAGCATGGCCCTGGCCAGGTAGGGACCCCATTTGCATAATAAAAGATTAGGGTGGGACAGCTAGCTTCTGATTGGCACACCTGGTCCAACCAATCTTTGGGGCCTATGTAAATCAGACACCACCTCCTGAAGCCAGTCTACAAAACCCCGTGCCCCGTGAAGTCCTACCTGGGAGCCCTTCTCTCTCTGCAGGAGCTACAGCTGTTCTCTTTTCTCTTTCGCCTATTAAACCTCTGCTCTTAAACTCACTTCTTGTGTGTCCGCGTCTTCGATTCCCTTGGCGTGAGACAATGAACCTCAGGTATTTACCCTAGACAACGACGCAGCATCATCAGCATTTTGGGAGGCTGAGGCAAGCTGATCACTTGAGCTCAGGAATTCAAGACCAGCCTGGGCAATACAGTGAGACCCCCATCTCTTAAAAAAAAAAAAGAAAATAAAAATTTAGCTGGTGTAGTGGCACGCACCTGTGTTCTCAGCTACTTGGGAGGCTGAGGTAGGAGGACTGCTTAAGCCCAGGAGGTTGAGGCTGCAGTAAGCCGTATTTGTGCCACTGTGGCAAGCCAGATCTCACAAAAGCTGAACAGGCAGGCCTCCATCACAAGTGTTTCAGCACTGACTGAGTGGTTAGGTTAAATATTAAAGGCTGAGAGAGCCAGTGCCCTAACACAAAGGTTGCTGATTTGAAGCATGACAAGGTAATGAAGGAATGGTCACACTCCTCATCCCAGGATCCATTTAGGATTAAACAAGTTTTACTGAGGGTCTAAAGGCACTCCCCAGACCTCCATAACTTAGTAGGAGACAAGGTAGGGGTAATCACCTTTGGCACTTGGACCCAACTAGAGTAAGTAAAATTACTGAGGCTCTGGAGGAAGGTTCCCAAGACTCAGACCTTAGTTACAGATGAGAAGAAATTAATCACTTATATCTTTAGATGAATGCACACTTACATGTAGACATATAGCTTAGAAGGTGGATAAGCACTGGAAAACTGTGTAATTTTGAGTTGTCTGGCAATATTTTTCTGGCCCTCTCCCTGTACCTGGTTACAGAAATAAAACTCTCTTCTTTTACATCAACATCTTGTTATTGGGCTGCGAGAAAAAGCAGCCTGGCCCTCGGTTCAGTCCAGGAACACCACTGCATACCAGCTTGGGTGACAGAATGAGACCTTGTCTCTTAAAAAAAGTCCTCAGAGGTCGGGCGCGGTGGCTCACGCCTATAATCCCAGCACTTTGGGAGGCTGAGGTGGGCGGATCGCGAGGTCAGGAGATCAAGATCATCCTGGCCAAGATGGTGAAACCCCGTCTCTACTAAAAATACAAAAAATTAGCCAGACGTGGTGGCGAACACCTGTAGTCCCAGCTACTTGGGAGGCTGAGGCAGGAGAATGGCGTGAACCCAGGAGGCAGAGCTTGCAGTGAGCCGAGATTACGCCACTGCACTCTGGC